ACTTATATGGCGCTGACCTTTCAGCCCAAAGGCTCATGGTTAGCTGAAAGGCTGAGTATGCAGGGCTTTTCATGCAGAGAGAGATGGCCCAAAGCCCACTCAAAGTCCTGGGTGCATGTAAGAGCTCTTCAGTCATCCAAAGTGTGACCCCATCTGGTTCCCGATTCTGCTAAGTCTGCTTGAGACGTAAAGGCCCGTCAGTGACATAAAGGCATGACGGTAAGTTTCTGTCAGCTGTGGCTCGAAAGGCCATCAGCATGGCGTGGCTGAGGACACGAGGACAAAGGGCTAGCTCACTCCTCCCTATAGCAGTCCTTCTCTACTCAGATAAACCACACATCCCCACCCTGTCAGCAGCAGTCGGCCTCCCTGTTGACAAGGGGGGATTTTTTGGAAACTACAGCAACATTCTGAATCCATTTTCTTGTCCACCAGCAGCCATTGAGGAGAAACCCCGCCCCACCGTTCCCAGCCAAGGAGACACAATAGAGCTGGCCTGACTAGCAGGCAAAGCAAACCATGGGGAAGATTGCTAGGCCAACTAGCCTGGTGGACCGCTCCCGCACTGGCAGACACACTGGCTCTGGTTTCTCTTCATCACGTACAAGTCTTTCGCCTTTTACTAAAGACTTCCGTGGAGAGCAACGCTAAAGAGTTGCATGTTATTTTTGGTGGGCTTTGCTTGCGTTGCTAAAGCCTTTCCTGTTTGTCGAAAGTCAAAGTTGCCTTACCTGGGCTGAGAGGGGCTCTCCTGGAAGACCCTCAACTCTACTCCTGTGACTGCCTTGAGGCGGCAGCTTGGAGTGCGCAATTGTGCCTCCAAGGGCGCCGACTGCAGCCTGTCGGAGCGCAAAGTGCGTCGTTGCTCAAGAGTGTTTAATGCGGGAAGGGGCGGAGGTGTGAAGTGGCCACCTTAAAAAGGATACCGCGACCAGTTCAGATTGTATCAGGAAGTGAAAGGCAACGCGAAGCCCTGGAGAGTTATCGCTTCTCAGCCTTTTGGCTAAGATCAAGTGTAGTATCTGTTCTTATCAGTTTAATATCTGATACGTCCTCTATACGAGGACCACATATTAAATGGATTTTTAGGACACGGAGCCGAAAGAGGGGCTTGCCCCGTTCGCTCCACGCATCGACCCGGTACTGCAGTGCCGCCGGGACCGGTGCACTCACCGCTGCTCTGGTCAAAGGAAGCAAGCACCACTTTGTCACGGTGTCTACGCTCAGTCCCGCTGATGAAAGGCAAAAGCTTGCATGGGTTTTGGGGGGCTGGTTGCAAGAGTTGCTTTGAGACGTCACATCCAAACCAAGTCAGCGCTTAGTATGCATGTGACGTCTCAAAGCAACTGA